ATATAAGATACAGTAATGGTCAATTATGATGAAGCTGTAACAATAAGTAATAGCAACAGCGTCTCACCTGCCTATACATTTTATACATCATGTCCGGTTTGTTGTCGCTAAATGAGAATAGAAGACCAGGACGCACTGGTTGAGTCAACAACAAGAAGTCATTGAACAAAAATGCATACAATTCCTTGTTGCTTTTTACCTGGTAAAACAAAACAAATTCTTTGAGCAAATCCGATCCAATCTGGTCATTTATAAAGCGCATTTCTTCGCAGATATGAAGTGCTGCACCCTCAAGCAACTAGCTAACAATTCACAGACAATCATTATATAATGCCCAATCCAAGCTCAGCACAAGTGAACAAGTAAAAAAAAATCAGTAGAAAAGTTCAGGATAATAAATAAATAATGCAACAATAAATAAAATAAAAAGGAAGAAAGAATGAAGACTTGTAATTCTGATGCGAGTTTGCATCAGGAAAATATCATAGGAGTGATTTTTGCCCTACCTGACGCGTTATCGTACTAAATACTTATTACATCCCCAAACACTAGCGAAAAAAAGGAGGTCGTGAGTTTGATTAATTCCCACCCGAATCACTTGCGAATTTTTTTTACTAGTATTTGAAGTATTTGGTATGATAACACGTCAGGTAGGGCAAAACATCACTCCTAAGACTGTAATTGATATATATTTCTACAGCTCGGAAAAAAAAAATCTTTTAACATGGCCCTGAACTCTAGAATGCTTTTTTTCAAATTCAATTACAAATATTAAGTGTGTATACTTAAATCAATCCTCCAGTAAAAATGTTTTTCTTTTGCTGTCACAGCCACTTATGTTATCCTGTCTCTTATACACATCTGAGGCTATGTCCCATAGACATTTTATACCCTGGACATTCCAAAACCTGACATGCTTTGGATATGAAATATCTGTGGCAGAGTAATGAAATATTTGGGTTACGAAAAGTCCAGGTTACAAAATGTTGACACCTTGTAACAGACTGTTACATAATTTAGTAACAAACCCATTTCTTAAAGGTTTAGAAACTCACCTGAGTTTTTCTGTGTCTGTCTTGAGGGCATACACTTTCTCAACATGTGTTAGATTAAACACGCACTCATCCTGTACATCTGATGGCACCTTCACAGAAACTTCGCTCAAAAATAAAGGCTGTGGTAGAAAAAAAAAAAAAAATTGTAAGACAATGATCTTTTGTTTGGCACAATTTCAAATTAACATTTGATACTGCAGTGGTTTTTATTAGAATTATAGTTAACAAAAACTATTTTAATTTATGCATTTTCCCAGTGGTTATTAAGATATTGGTGTGGGTATGGGCAGTTGAGCCTGTAGGAGTCTAAAATGCCCATCCCTCTAGAGTAATGCTAGAGAACTGCTACTCTTCCTTAGCATCCCAGCTTAAGCCTGTACCCATTTATACTCCTACTCCTGGGTAGAGAGACAAACACAGATAAAACTGTCTTTCCCAAGGACACAAGCATCTTGCACAGGAAGGGCTCAAACCCTTGACCATGAGGTTGAAAGTCTGAGCCTCAAACACTTCCATTATGAAAGTGATATTGATAATGATGATTTAATAATGATCATCATTTCATTGTGCTTGGCATTTACATAAAATACGAAATACTGTACAATAAAATGTCATACAGAAATCATTTACAGGAAAAGGGAATAAAACATAGGCATGGATGATGATATAAATATAAGTTATGGTCAATTATGATGAAGCTGTAACAATAAGTAATAGCAACAGCGTCTCACCTGCCGATACATTTTATACATCATGTCCGGTTTGTTGTCGCTAAATGAGAATAGAAGACCAGGACGCACTGGTTGAGTCAACAACAAGAAGTCATTGAACAAAAATGCATACAATTCCTTGTTGCTTTTTACCTGGTAAAACAAAACAAATTCTTTGAGCAAATCCGATCCAATCTGGTCATTTATAAAGCGCATTTCTTCGCAGATATGAAGTGCTGCACCCTCAAGCAACTAGCTAACAATTCACAGACAATCATTATATAATGCCCAATCCAAGCTCAGCACAAGTGAACAAGTAAAAAAAAATCAGTAGAAAAGTTCAGGATAATAAATAAATAATGCAACAATAAATAAAATAAAAAGGAAGAAAGAATGAAGACTTGTAATTCTGATGCGAGTTTGCATCAGGAAAATATCATAGGAGTGATTTTTGCCCTACCTGACGCGTTATCGTACTAAATACTTATTACATCCCCAAACACTAGCGAAAAAAAGGAGGTCGTGAGTTTGATTAATTCCCACCCGAATCACTTGCGAATTTTTTTTACTAGTATTTGAAGTATTTGGTATGATAACACGTCAGGTAGGGCAAAACATCACTCCTAAGACTGTAATTGATATATATTTCTACAGCTCGGAAAAAAAAAATCTTTTAACATGGCCCTGAACTCTAGAATGCTTTTTTTCAAATTCAATTACAAATATTAAGTGTGTATACTTAAATCAATCCTCCAGTAAAAATGTTTTTCTTTTGCTGTCACAGCCACTTATGTTATCCATTAACTTCAGTATGTTTATACATTAGTGTTGTATTGACTGTTTTTGTCTATCAATTCTTAAAAATTTCATTGGCTATTTATTGTAGTAATCATATCATTGTATATTTTGCATTGAAGAATATAAATAAATACAATAAAACAGAGACACAAAACTAATTTTTTGAGGCAGCATTGAGAAAATTGAATAGAATAAATAACAGATAAACTGCACATAAAAGTAGGCTAGGAGTATCACAATTATAGCCTGGTGGTAAAACTGCTGAAATGAATTTTAGCGGGAAAAAAGTAAAGGAAAATTAATTTTTGGTTTTTCTGAATCAACATACCCTATAGTGTCTCAGAAAAAAAATCCCCATGCCTAGGGCTTGGGCAATTTTTTTTACAGCACTTTGAAATTTTGGCCTAAAATACCCTATTTTAAACTATTTAAAATGGGGGTAGGGGAAATAACTTTATGTTTTTTGTCACTTTTACATATACTGTGGATATGAAATGTATCAAAAACTTGGCTATATAGTTACTCATCAGTCTCATTAAAAAATTTGATCGGAATGATGACGTCATCATGATAAATTCCAAGATGGCGTCCATTATTGTGGGAAAAACTATGTTTTTAATGTAAAAATAATTTAATTGTTATCAAAGTACAATACAATCTCAATACAATAT